TTTCCGTGCCTCGTGGTCACACAGGCGCATGGTGGGCCCCGAGGGATGGAGAGCTCCGGCTCTCAGGCTCTCTCTGGGCCAATCAGGAAGGTCTGGGTGCGACCTCAGAACCCAGTCCCCATGCTGTGGGGTCGGCCGCCTCTCCCCAGCACGCTTAGGAGGTGAGGCTCTAGGAGCTCCGGCCGCCCCCCCCCTCCCCACTGCCCGGAGGCTGAGGCCTCTCCTTAGGAGAGCAGTTACTATTTCTGCGTTCATTCACCAGACAGAGAGACTGTCCTGGGTGCTGGGGCCAGGGCCGTGAGTAAAGCACAGCGAACAACGATAAGTAACTCAATGTCGAGTTTACAACTGGTCCTGAACGCTCAGCAGAAAGACCGCAGCGGAGCGGGAGGGGGAGGGGAGGGGGCAGGCTGCCTGGCATCTACCGGGAGGGGTAGGGAGGGCTTTGTAGAGTCCGCACAGCAAGGAGCCCTGAGATGGGGCCGGGGGCCTGGCTCTTCCTCCCGATGAGAGACAGGGCGACGCCCTCCCTTCTCGGTGGGGTCCCCACCCCCATAGCCGGCCCTTCCCTCCGGGCTGAGCTCCTAAAGGCCCAGAAAGCTCACGGCGCAGGGTCTGGACGCAGGGCTCTGGGGCCCTGGGAACTCCGCTGCGTAATTCGGGGCCCCTGTGTGAGGGGCCTGAGTCTGTGGCACCAAGAAAGCGCGACCAGCCTGCCCCGGGCAGCACCCCCTGAGCTGCAGACTCCGAGCGAGCTGGCCGCCCATGCTGCCTGTGAGCCTCAAAAAGAGGCGACAAAGAAGCCGATTAACCTCCAGGCGAGGCCACTGCGCTGCTGTTTAGAGAAATAAAACAAAAAGTGCTGCCAGCTGGGCGCTGCTCAAGGCTTCAGGTCATGGGGCAGGTCTGATTAGGGTTGTTTTCCAGGCCACAGAGACTTGCAGAGGTTTTCACGTGATCACATGCATGTACCAAACTTCCCATGTTGCTGGATCAGGAGGGCTCCGTGCGACC